GCAGATAGCCCTCGTGTAGCTTTGCGCGAAATTCAAAACAAACAAACAAAAACTAAAAATATAAAAAATTAAAATTCTAGCAAAAAACTGTCCAAAATTATTATGAGTAAAAAGTAAATAAAAAAGGTTAATACATAAAAAATAGCTTAAAATTCAAGGAGTAAAAAATAAATAAAAAAGGTTAATACAGAAAAAATAGATGTAATTGAAAAACAGCCTGGTGGATGTAGCTCTCAATATTTAAGTTGCGGATAGCGGAATGGAACCCTATCACTGAACGTGTGAGTGTAATAATGTACGATCAATCTAACTATTTGTTGGTAAAGAGTACCCTAAGATTTAGTAGATCTTCGGCTGGATTTCGGAGCCGGGTTCGAATTCGTGCGTAACTTCAAAATATTCCTCGTACTTTAAGCTGTGGGCGTTTTATAATAGTGACAGTCAATCACTTAGTGTGTATGGTGGGTGGTAAAGTGATGACTGGCTACTTTCCATCTGGTTAGTAATTCAAAATATAAAATGACGGCAGATAGTTCTAGTGTCCAAATTCGATGACGAGGAACCCACTTTGAGACTAATAAAGCTTGGAGATGGCTTGAATGTGTAATGAAGAAAAACTTTAATATAAACACTTATATTAAAGTTTTTCTTCATTACCAATTCAAGCCGTCTCCAAGCATTAATAGTCCTAGTGTCTTTGCCATAAATAGTTTTCTGTATATGTGTTTACTAAAAAGAAACTTCTTTTGTGCTGTTCATTAAGACATGCTTCTAAGTTCTACTATTTTTCCAAAATTAATATTAATAATCAAATAAGACATTTACTTAAATACCCGAACTTCAAATTTTATTTTTAAAATGTCAAACACCATTACTGGTTGCAATTTTGTGCTTCATTTTTAATTTTGATGCACAATTTTACCTTCTTGGAATAGATTCATTAACCTTTCTGAGAATTATAATTTTATGCTGGTTTTCTGAATACCTTGCTAAATTATTGAGAATTGAGACAGCAATTTACTGATATAAACAAAACTCAATAAACAGGCCTAGAATTTTCCAACTTTTTGACAACGCCTTTTTAAAAAATTGTATAATTAGCGATTATTTGAATTTCTCTCAGTGATATGAGATTTTGTCTAATTTTAAAGTATAACAGTAAAAACCTTCACTATTACCCTGCAAATATTAATAAGCCTCAAGGTTTTGTTGGGATAAAAAGCTGAACACTGACAAGGTTAACCAAACATTTCCAAAAGTTTTTTCCATTTTTTATCAATATAATAAAACATACGAATAAATGTTTAATACCCTCAGCAATGTTTTCCAACGAATCTTAAAAACCATTGTTGTTTTCAGTTCCACTTCTATTTAACTTAAAATGTTAAGTGTTTTTGCATTTGACGTAAGCATAATAAAAGAATAAAACGTAAATGAAATTTGATGCATTGAGAAAAGAGACCTGTGTGCTTTAACAGTAGGTTAACATTTTGTGTCTTTCAGTTTAAAATAGGGTGAACATCAATTAATATGCCTATTTAAATTAGCTTCCTATTCTTTCTTTTTCATAATTTTAAGCAATTAATTTTTTCTAAACATGTGGGATATAACTGTTAGTGTTACTAATTTTGCAATAGACTTTAATGAAAAAATTAGAGGCAATGATATTATGGCCTCTTTTATTTGAGTACTTTTGCACAACCACATTTAACCTTATCTACTGTCCTCTCAGTACAAATAACAAAGTCTAAAATAGGTGCATCTTTTTTTTATGTTGTTGTTGTTGTTATAACAAGAAGGGACCATTTGGCCCTTCAGGACTGTTCTTCCACATCCAACCTTGAGAAAAGGAAAGGACACTTCACTAATAACAAGGGCCCAGTTTAACTGGACTATTGATAACCACCTTATGCTTTAAGCCATCCAACCTCCCTACAATCCAATAAACTAGTCTTTCCCCAACTAACAATGACGTCGGAACCAGGGGTGCTGCAGCACCCTCACTTTTACATATTTGACTTATAAAGCAACTTTGGAGTATATTATTATTTAGCTAAGCACCCCCACTTTCTTAAATAATTTTTGTGTGGTACATTATCAAAGGTTTTTGATAATAGAAGTACACCAATCCACACCCTTTCCATCTTCTATGTAACCCCCCCCCCCCAAAAAAAAAAAATTATAACAGATTAGTAAGCAAGATTTCTTTTTGGTGAATCCATATTTACTTTCATTTCTGAGATATCATATTTACTAAACAGTTTTGTAAATATTTTATCAGACCATCTAGAACTTTTACAATTACAGAAGTAATACTAACTAGCCTGTAATATCCAGGTCAACTCTTATCCCCCCTAAAAAAGTAGGAGTAACATTAGCAACTCTCCAACCCTCATACAACAGCTCAATATTTATTAACTTATCAAAAATTAAAGAGAGAGACTAACATATCTGATCTTTGACTTCATTTAAAACCCTGGGGAAGAATCATGTCTGACTCTGATGTTTTATCTACTTTTAATCTATCACTCTTTATATATAACACCAGGGAATTAATATGAACATGACTCAGGTTAATTCTAATAATTGGTATAAAATGATAAAGGTCAAAGTCAGGAATATTGCTAAGATATTCTGTAAAGATAATAGAGGACATGTAAAAGAAAGTCATCTCTTAGTCTTCACAAAAACCTGGTCATCAGCATACTTTAAGAACCTGTTCTCCAATTTTGACATTTTCCTTACCTTTCATATATTTTAAAAAATCTTTGCCGTTAGTTATAAAATTGATAGCCATCTGTTTCTTATAATCTATTTTGAATTTCCTAATTTTACTATAGTTCTGTGATGTAAAGGATATTTATTTTAAATCATATGCTTTTTCATTAAGTGAAGATTTTAAGAATAATGTATATAATTTTTGGTTAAATTATTGTATTATTTTATTTACAAAGTAAAGATACATTCTTGTAATAAAAAACAGTAAATTAATAGTCTTTTCTTTTGTTTGCTCATTTAGGTCACTTTGAAGTTGCCCACGAAGGCTTGGCATATCAATAATGGCAAAAAGACGCATTTGGCCCAATAATGTCCTGGACTTTTGTGCTTTTTTGTTTGTTGTAACAGCTGCTATTGTGATTTTTTTTTATGAAATTTTTGTAGTAATTCCCTATGTCCATGTTGATAAAACCTGGTTGTATTATCTTCACTACATCTGTGGAACGTTTGTTGTTTCCAATATACTTGGAAACTTGTTTGGAATTATGGTTACAGACACCACCAGTGGCAGTGCCATTTTGCCATCAGTGTTAAAGCCCAACTGGAGATTCTGTCCTGGGTGTGAAGCTAATTCACCTCCTCGTTCATTTCATTGCAATGTCTGTAAAACATGTGTTTTAAAACGTGATCATCATTGTATTTTCTCAGGATGTTGTATTGGATACAAAAATCAGCGTTTTTTTATTGGGTTTCTATTCTACATGATGATAGGATGCTTATATGCTACAGTTCTCAACATGTTCTTTGTATGGGATATGTTAGGAGGATTCACCCCTTTTTCTATTTTTGCTCATGTTTTGCCATTTATTTTCTGGATAACTGGTTATTTGGAGTTAGGTGCCACTTTTGCCACATTATTTTCTATGTTGTGTATCACTGGCTTTGGATTTGTAGCCAGTCTGTTGGCTTTTCACTTACAGCTTCTTCTCAGGAATCAAACCACATTTGAAAAGAACCATGGAATAACTGAATACAACTTAGGTTGGAAAGAAAACCTTATTCAAACATTAGGAGAAAGATGGTACATTGTGTGGGGTTTTCCTCTTCTCAGATCTCCTCTTCCAGGAGATGGAATCATTTTTATGAATGAAGAAGAACTAAAACTTTCATCCACTAAGAACAGATAAATGAGAGCACAGTTAATTTTACTGAAATGTATGTAGTATTTTATGTATTTTTCATGTCATGATGCATAAAACTAAAACAGAACTTACTCATATGTTTTGTTATATTAGTCTGTAACCTTTCAATTTGTAATTTTTATTGTGATGATCAAAAGTTTTAAATTCAATCTTATACCTCTGTGTACTTTTGTCACCGTGTGTGGAAAGTTGTACTCATTTTGTTGTGTTTTTTTCCTTGAGAATTGAGAACTGGTAACAATAATGAAATAAAATATACATAAACCATTTTCAATTGTGGCTCACAGTAGATTGTTTGTAACATTTTTAAGGATTGTTAATCAGTACACCGTAATTATTAGTTTAAAAGACATATGTATAAAACACTTTTCAATATGTTCTCAAATAATAGTAATGTGTTATGAAAAATAAGTTAGAAGGAATACAAGAATGTATCTGGCAGGAACCAATTTATATTGAAATTTTATAAAAAGAAGTATTAATTGAGTAGTTTTTTTTGAAGATTTAAAAAACTAAAAGATATTCCTCATTTTTTGAGTGCTAAAGCTATTTAAGTACTTAATTGAATTGGTGTATAATTTTCAGTTAAAGATAAAATTGTATATGGATTGGTGGAGCAAAACACTTTAATAACTATAAACAGTATATATTTTATGAAAAATTAATATAGGCTTCTAGTGATAAGTTATGGTCAGTTAACCAATAATAAGTTAACATATGTTTTGACAATGTTTTATCTAAAATAGAATTATTATAAAAAAATGTATCTCATACATGTAAATATCTTGTAAGAATTTACAGAGGGCACTTAAAAATAAAAAAACAGAAAGGATGAGAAACAAGTCAAAGATTCATCAACTCCTTTTTTTCGAGTCCTTTATCAGTAATAAATAATTAGGTAATTTTCTGTTATAGCCCCACAATTTTGATAATTTTTAAAAAGATATAAATATAAAAAAAACATAAATATGCATTTTATTCATACAGTAAATGTCCATAATAAATATTTCTAAAAAGATAGTAATAACCATTTTATTCATAAAGTAAATGTCCATAATAAATTTTTAAAAAGATAGTAATAGCCTTTGTATTCATACAGTAAAAACTTACCATTTGCAGGGGTTTAATGGAACATTACCAATAATTACAGTTATAAATGCAGTGCATAATACAAAAAACGTTTCATTAAAATGTATCATTAATATATCATCTAATATTTTGAACTATTATTTTAAAATTTGAAGGTACATCTATGTAGGGTGATATAACGTATTAATTTAAAGTTCATGTGTCACATTCTAATAGAAATGTCCAATTTCACTCTGTATGTGACTTAGTCAAAATATAGTTTGTAATTAAAAAAATATGGCTGATACTAGAGTTAATATTAACAGATTACGTACATGGTTGCACCAATTTTTCTTCATTTGGTTTTTTAACCTCTTTATTATCAAATAACATTAAAATGTACAAATTTTGTTTTATATCCTAACCATCAATTTTATGGCTGTGCCACTTTCCCTGGTTATGCATGTCTTTTATCAGGTACTATTTATGTTTTCAGTTTTGTGTCAAAGCAACTGATGTCCATAAAATTGATAGCAATAATGTCTTAGGGGTCCGTGAACCACTGAGGTAGATAGTTTTTTTGTAGTTATGCTTTCCCATGATGCATCACATTATAGCTTAAAATAATCCATAATTAAACAGTTATTACACAATGCAGGATAACACTTCTAGTTAGCAGTCTCAGAAGTAATTTTTATTGTAGTAAAAATATGCTTGTAGCCAACAGATTTGCTTGTTTTTCAGGCATAATTTTTTATTTGTTATAAGTATTTCGAAATAATAGGTTTCTAGATTTGAAGTAATCTATTTTATTAGAATACTAAATCTCAATGTACTGTATGACTTGCAACATAATCTTTATTTTTGTGTAAAAGTAATAATTCTGACTGACTACAAACTTTATAAGTACAGATATTTGAAACATGAATTTATAAGTGGAAATTCTAGTAAGGTAGTACTTATTTCTGTTGTTTATTTTGTAATGATGCAAATGCATTTATAGAATAATGAAGTTTTAAGAAAAGTATTGGATAGCAATAAGTACCTGATAAATAAACTTATGGCTTCAGTTACTTTTTTTTGTTATTTCTACTTACTGTTATTCCTCATCTTAGTTTGGACCCCTTATGGCTCAGCAATAAGTTTGAGGGTTGTAATGCCAAAAGGTTGGTTTTGATACTCATGGTGGGAACAATACAGATACCTCATTTGTGTACCTTTCACTTAACGACAGATAAACATCTTAACTCTCAACAAAACAAGAACAGAATTGGTTATTACCAGCTTCATTTTGTTGTCAACATTACAGCCTTTAGTAATGATATAGTCTTGTAAATGTTGTTTCATAAAATAGCGAGACTTTGAACTTCTGAGCTGTGAGGAGACATTTATAAAACAACATATTCAAGCATTCTTTTCAATAAAGAAGTGAGATATACAACTAAAATGTTTTACTCTGAATATTAAATACTTTCATACCATTTGAAAAATAAAAGAAAACAGTAATTTATTAAAACATGTTACTTCAACATATAGCAAGCATCAAAGTTGAACTGTTCAGTTTTTTTCAACTAAATCTCAATACAAAATAATAACTGAAACTTAATTAGGCAATTAACTTCGACCTATAACTTTTTTGCCTTCTGAGCCACATTTTAAAATGTAGTTCTTAATAATTACAAACAGTATTATGTTGGGAAAAACTACTCTGAGAATTTTTACATATAAGCACACAATATTTTTTCATTTAAATACACATACATGTTTAATATCCATATAACGTTCATGTAAAGTCTTCTGGAGAACATGTCACTTGACAATGTTTTAACATATAGTATCAAACATTGTTAATGTTAAGGAAATGTACTGAGTCAGGTTGAGCACAAGCCTTTGGCATGGTAATTTATAATGTTTTTCATTTGTTTCCCCTTATGTGAAATTACCAGGTGAGCATCAAAGGCCTGGATGTATTGCACTCGTGTGTGAGTGCAGCTGTTATGGAGTGTTAACTGTTGAAAGCTTTTCCCACCCATCAAATAATTTATTAGTACATAGAAACTTCTAATTTGTTTATGTAACATCAAATATATTTTCTTTGTTTATCAACTGTTGTTTCAGCTGTGTGATACTATTTTTAAACTATAATTTCATAAAAACTTGTTTTACAGGCAAAGGTTTTTAAATGTAAAAATACTAGTCAATATGATATTATCAAACGTAGGTGTATATGTGTGTTCCAGGAATGACTATCATTTATAAAAGGCCATGGAGTCTGAGAGGGTCTTGTTAACCTGTGAATGTAGTAGGTGAACAAAATTTTCTTAAGTAACTTAAAAGTTTTGCACATTAATTTGTCATGCACAGTAGCAAAATCTCTGTTAAAAAGTAACTAAAAATAACTTTGGACAATCTGTATATAATAAATATTGAAAGTTGCTTGTTAACCAAGCAAAGAAATTATCCTAACTAGATGTACGAGCCATGGAACTAATTGTAGGGCTGTAATTGAAATTGTCCAAAAATATTTCATAACATTTTTTTGCATTAAGCTATTTTCTTTAGTTAAATTTTTAATCCAGCTTTTGTAAACTTATGTTTGTGCATACAGGAAATATGGTAACAGAATAACAGTCTGTTTAAATCATATATTAAAATTAAATTACATTTCATGACTGATGCAGCACTCGGGGGGCAAATGATTAGCACTTGTAGTACCCTTCTAGTTTCTTGACATTTTGAAATATCTGAAAGATCATTTGTCTCAAAAACAAGCATTCATAAATATATACTATGAATATTAAAAGTGATTCAATTTTAACTGATCATATAATCAGTATAAAATTTTTGGTGACTTTATAAACTCACCTAAATTGTCATTAGAAGAAACTACTTATTTTTATTAACAAAATCTTGAACATTACCTAAATTATTTATATGAAAAGTCTGTATATTAAGGTAACCAAGTCAGTGTTCAGTCTATTTCTATGGAAAACATTAGTGCCTGTTTATTAACTCTTTACACATGCCTGGTAATTGCTTCTTAGAAAATAAAAATTTACCAGGCTATGTCATGAGTAGAAAGCTGACTCTTTAATGATCCATAGTTATGATGTAAATATATCTTGCTGTGTATTTTCAGTGACATATAGTTATGTTAACTTTTTTTAATAAGTATGAACTTGGATCTTTGGGTTACATTAGTCTACCGAGTCAAAAACTAAACACTCAAACATTTACAAAATTATCCATTGTGTTTTTAAATGATGTAAAACTTGTATAGTTAAAAAAACATATACATAGAACCGAGACAAAAAATAAACATCTTTCTTAAATCTAATGTACGTTTCTAATTTTTTACTTAATGTATTACTGGTATAATAAGCTACTGCAAGCTGCGTTTACAGCATAATAATAATAACCACATCCTTTTGCCCTATGTAGGCTACAATTTATTTTTAATATTATCAAAATTTAAAATTAAACTTTTAAATTACAAATGTTTTTATAAAAAGATTCATCATATATTGTGAATTTCTCATTCTATTGCTGTACTATTTTTGCAAAACATTTTTTTGGAATTTAGATTTTTTCACCATGTATTTTTCTCATACAAATCAAGTTATATTCAGTTCTCTTACAAAAAACAAAATTACCTTTGTAGTTTGAGTTCTTTTATTACAAAGTATTATAGTAATAACTACTTCTTTATAGCTAATCAGTGTATTTATAAAAAGTAGTTCCAAAAAAAGAAGGAAGAAAATAAAAGAAAGTGAAGTGCAGTAATACTGAACAAAACCTAAAGTAAAACTTATCCTTGAGCTGGAATATATATATATATCTGTGTGCTTTTGTTTTTTAAGTAAATTCACATGTAATACAAGCAGTTTGAACTGTTAATCCTTCTATTTTAGGAAAGTCTAAGATTGAAACATTAAACTATAAAATTATGAGCTATTGTCTTCAGTGAACTTGTAGATATTTTAACAAAAGATATTTCTAAAAATTTATCTTTTTATTTTGACATTGAGGGCAGAGTTTTCCCTGTGGTAGAGCTCAGGATTTTGGAGCTGGTTATCCAGGATTGAATCTGTGTGGTACTACAAAATACTCACTGTACTTTAAGCTGTGGGTGCATTATAAGAGTGACAGTCCTTCAGTATGAATGGTAGTTGGTAGAGTGCTGTGTATTGGTTACCTTTTCTTTGGTTAGTAGTTCGAAGTTATGAATAGCAGCAGATAACATTATATTTGAACCATTCACGAGTTGTACAATACCTGAAAAATCACTTGTACTTTATGAAGATAAGTATAGTAACCACCATCAATCTTAAGATGGCACAATAATATGTTATTACCATTTTTATTTTTACATTCTTTGTGTATTTGTATATGTAAAAATAGTGAAATGCAGTTCAAAGTAATTTATCAATTTTATGTGTCAGAAAAATTTCATCAAAGTCAATTTTGTTTCTGTAAATTTCTTTTTCAATACACAGTAAATGCCAAAGTTTGCTATAAATTTTGTAAGACTTCAACAAGCAGATGTTAGCTGTTATAATCTTTTTTTCTCCTAATTTTGTTTTAATGATTTTGAATATTAAGCCTTTTATTTTGAATTAACATTTTTGTCTGCATTGAATATAATTCTCACTCATAATTACAAAACCATTTTAAGCATATTGTGTTTTTTTTATTCAATTATACTTATGGGAATAATACAACAGTAGTAAATTACACAATTTTTTGTGAATGAAATTTTTGTGATTACTGTTTC